AGTGTCAGCTTTCTCTGCCAAAAAAAAAAAAAATAAAATTAGAAAGAGAATAAAAAAAACGTTTTTGGACCATGTATTTGTGATTCAGGATGTATATACCAGAAGAAATGTGACATTTTCAACATAGTTTTCTATCTTCCAGCTCATTGTTTTTATTGTCGTTGAAAAGAATGAAAGAATGTATATTTTAAAAGAGAGTAATTTATGGACACCATTTCATGTCAATAGAGCCTTTGAGTGGTTATGGTGTATTATATATGTATACTATGTCAATAAAGACAGTTCAGAAGTCAGGTTTTAAATTTTTTCCTCCTGTGTATGTGTAAGAAAAAGACTTCCAGTTGATCATAAAGTTTATTTATTTCATCGAGCTCATTAGTGAAACTTATCTGCTTGAAAATATATTATTTTATTTTATTAAAAGTTGTGTAAATTAAAGATTTCTCATTTATGAACCCATTTTGTAAAATTTGGACAGAATATAAGCTGTCAACTAGTATCAGGTTCTTCAAGACACCAATCTCAATAACTCTGATTCTTGTAAAAATATGCATGTCTGCTTATTAAGTCTGTTCTTAGGGTTAAAAAATTTCCTTTAATGCATAATTGTATCTATATATACATGTTTTTGAGCAACAAATATATTGTGGCACATATTACCCTGTCTCCAATTGTCTAAATTCTTCACTGGGGTGTTATGGTGGGGCACGTGTAGTTTTAAACTTCAGTGTTAAAGTTACAATACATCGTTAGGATGTTATGGTGAGGCACGTGTAGTTTTAAACTTCAGTGTTAAAGTTACAATACAACGTTAGGGTGTTTTGGTGAGGCACATGCAGTTTTAAACTTCAGTGTTAAAGTTATAATACAATGTTAGGGTGTTATGGTGAGGCATGTGGAGTTTTAAACTTCAGTGTAAAAGTTACAATACGTCATTAGGATGTTATGGTGAGGCACGTGCAGTTTTAAACTTCATTGTTAAAGTTACAATACATCATTAGGTTGTTATGGTGAGGCACGTGGAGTTTTAAACTTCAGTGTTAAAGTTACAATACATCGTTAGGGTGTTATGGTGGGGCACGTGCAGTTTTAAACTTCAGTGTAAAAGTTACAATACATTGTTAGGATGTTATGGTGAGGCACGTGCAGTTTTAAACTTCAGTGTAAAAGTTACAATACATTGTTAGGATGTTATGGTGAGGCACGTGGAGTTTTAAACTTGAGTGTAAAAGTTACAATGCATCGTTAGGTTAGATTTTGTATTTAGGACTAAGCTAAATCTCCTAATCTTTGGGAGATATTGTTAGGTTTAAGGCCAAACATATCATTAGCAGCGAAGGTACCCAACTGATAAAACAATACATTATATCTAAGAATAGTGTAGTTGACTTGCCAGGTTGATTTTTAGTTTTGCTCTGGGTACGTAGATCACTCGGATCAGAAGTTATGTCTCAATACTGCTCAAAAGTTGTATTTGTTGCCTGCATGTCACATGTACTTGTTGGTTTGAAGAGAAATGAACATGTCTATGTCTATCTGGAGTAGAAAAATGTATTCAAATTATGGCAGGTTATATTTTTAAAATTGTTTTCATTTTATTAGCCCTATGTATATTGTATGTTTTACAGAATAAAGTATATTTCTGTATCTGAATCGGCATTTATTCCAAATAGAAACCGTAATGTGTGGTCTCTGTTGGCAGGATTGTCAGGTCCACCTGGTGCTGGAAAATCTACGTTTATTGAAGCTTTAGGAAAGTACTTGACTGCCGAGGGCCACAAAGTAGCTGTACTAGCCGTCGACCCATCTTCATCCACAACTGGAGGTATCTCAGTTCCTTAATCTTTTTGAAACTTAATTCTATAGACAGGATATGTTCTCGTCCATCTTTCTAGATATATTTATTTAAGTCTAACACTGTACAAAAATCCTCAGCTGTTTTTACTGTACTGGGAACTTTCTGACACTAATTACATTTGTCATTTCACTTTTTCTTCTGTTTTATGTTGATTTTGCACATAACGATCATCATAGCCAGAAAAAGTAAGACATAGAATATCAGGAGTGCTGTCATTTATTTCTCTTTTAATGTATGTGAGTTCTCCAACCGTGCAGAACCAAAATATCTATATTTTACCCATCTTTCTTGTATAAAGAAAATTCTGAGTAAATTACCACATGAAAATATAGCTAAAAGGTTAGCTTTTAGTTGTTTGTGTAGCAAACGATGTTCCAATGAAGGAATACTGATATGTTCAGTAAACTTGTGTCCTTTACGAAAGTTAACTGGGACGGTACACCAGACACAAGCTGCTTTGAATCACACCTCTGTCTGGCAGAAGGCAAGAATGTATGGTTCAAGCAATGTTTCATACCAACTTAGATACATTGCTGAAGTTATGAGTTGCCAGCCTAGCTCCTCCTGGTGGCTCAGCATGATGTCTGAGGGTTTATAATGTTAAAAATTGTGTTTTCATACCTGCATTAAGTGTAACATAGATAGCCCATTGGTTAACTTTGTGATAAACAATGAAACAAGCAAACGAGCCTAGCATGTTGGACAAGAGAAGCAAGAAACAATAATGCTTGTTTTCTCAGTTACATTGCATTTGTAAACTCAAAACAAAGTAATGTAGGTAAAAAATAACTAGACTGAGCATCATGTGTTCATCCTGCTTGAAAATCACAGTTTTGGGGTATTAAGTTATGGATACCCAAAGTTCAGCATATCTTAAGATGGAGTGAAAAGAGCTACAGAAACTGAATGGCTATGGTTGTTTAAGTTCAATTACTATTAAGTAATCTGTATTTTCTTTGTAAAATCACTTGTATTTTTTTCTTTGCTGGATGGAAGGCCTAAAATGGTCACTTTGTATAGGTATTGCTCCCCAGAAAGGATTTTTGTATATAATGCCATAATATTAGATTAAACCTTTCAAAAATTATCATTAAAATGTAGTTATCATGAGGTAAAATTATAAGTTTGTATACTTTAACATAATTAATCAATTAATATTGTTCCAAGCCTGAAGACAATTTCACTTTTCCAAGTTAGCTCAACTTTTATCATGTGGACTGTTCTTTGTGACTAATACAGATTTTTATGTTTTCAAGGGTCAAGATGCAAGGTAGCTGAAGTATTGTAAACATCCAATAAAGACAGTTTTTTAAATTAAAGCTGTATTGTATAATAACAGGAAATATGGTACTTTAAGGCACTTTAATATTTAAGAATATGTTTTTTTATAAAAGGTTCACTTATGGGTGACAAAACGCGAATGCCAGAACTATCAAGAGACAGAAATGCGTACATACGACCTTCACCAAGTGGTGGCCACCTTGGAGGTGTGACAAGGAGCACAAATGAAGCTATAGTCTTATGTGAAGCAGCGGGATTTGATATCATACTTGTAGAAACTATAGGTGTGTTTAGACTAAGTTGCTTGTTTTTTTACAACCTTAAGGTTTTACACACGCGTTGAAAAGCTAGTACTGAAGAGCTGGATGTCTTGTTCTTTCGTGACTTTATGAGTTTACTTGAATAACCAAGTTAACTGCCTGGCCCTACCGTTTAGAAATGACTAAGGTTCTGCACTCAGTTCTTTCTGTTTCTTTGTTTTGTTGAATCTTGCACAAAGCTCCTCAAATGGTTACTTGTATTACTCATTCCTAAGTTTGAAGCGACAGACTAGAGGAAAGACAGCTAGTCGCCAAGTGCCAATTTTGGAGATAATATTTACAAATAAACAGGAGGATGCATTTAGGACTAACCTAAACATCCTAAGCTGGCCGAAACATGAGAGATATTTATAAATATCATTACCAGTGCATTCTAAGTAAAATGTAAGTTTGTAAGTAGAAACATAAGAAAAGTATATTTAATTAGCTATATTAATAGCTTGGTTAAATTTTTGGTTTTGCTTTAAGTACACAGTTTCCTCTAATCAGAAGTTAATATTAATTATTAATATTTTAATTAGTTACATTAATCAAAAAACAGTTAAAACCAGAACCACTAATCTTGATTTTCTTTTATTTACATTATACAATTTAATTGTAATTTTAATTAATCGATTATTTTACCCGACACTAATGGATGTAATTAATGTTCATAGATAATTTATTATATCAACTAACCAAGTTAACTGCCTGGCCCTACCGTTTAGAAATGACTATTATTTTACCCGACACTGATGGATGTAATTAATGTTCATAGATAATTTATTATATCAATTAACCAAGTTAACTGCCTGGCCCTACCGTTTAGAAATGACTATTATTTTACCCGACACTGATGGATGTAATTAATGTTCATAGATAACTTACTATATCTTCCCAGAGGAACTAGGTCTTTTACAAATTGTGACCAAGTTATTTTCCAACTGCTCTTTGGTGAAAATCAACATTTGTTCAGCTTTTACACAAACTCTACACATTTCACTTCACTATTACACTAAACAGATTGATACGCACGACTTAGAAGAACATCTACATTTGATACAAGCCCTCCTCAGTTCTTCTATACATGTGGACAGAAATGAGAAAGCAAGCAGTTTCTAAAAACATTTCAAGTGCTCTTATATTTGAATATAAGTTAAGAACGAACTTGACTTTATTCAAAAATTGTTAAAATATTGTAAAACTGAATATTTATTTTTAATTACATCTTTTGATGTGTTACAGTACACTTGGCACAGTTGGTTCAAAAGAATACTGTATCTCATTAAAAGAAAAAATTAAAACAGATTATATATTTACGCAAGTTTAATTTATAAAATTTTAACTTCCCTTCTTTTGTTGAGCCTCTAAAAGTTTCCTGATTATCTTCAAAACATTTACCGTATTGCCCCTTATTAATATCAACCTGTAAAAGGGGGGGGGTGATAATTATAGTATTTGTGCAGTTCCACATTCTGTTTTTCACATGTGATTTGTTGATTTTAATGCTATAAGTGTGTGTTTGTTTTTCTTCTCTTGTTTTTTTTAAATCACAATTTCGGTAATAAGAGTGAATTATATGTTGGATTACTATTAACAAGATATGTTCTGTAAAAATACTGGGGACGTGGCATTAATTAGGGGCAAAACGGTAGTTACACTGATCACAGATTTGAATGTAAAACTGTTCAAATGATACACTTTTGGAAACATTATTCTCTCCAATGAGTTGTTATCAGTAGATAACAAAATAGAACTTTTATCAGCGTAGATAGTCGGCAGTGTTTAGAAGTATTGGTGAATATTAGTTGTGTATGTTGTCTCAGTTATTTGGTAACTCACAAACTGCGTTAATTTTATAGGCGTCGGCCAATCAGAGTACAATGTAGCTCATATGGTGGACATGTTTGTGCTGCTTATACCCCCAGCTGGGGGGGATGAACTTCAAGGAATCAAAAAGGGAATCGTCGAACTAGCTGATGTAGTTGTTGTAAATAAAGCTGATGGTGCCCTACTACCTGATGCTAGACGAATTCAGTCAGAATACACGAGCGCTCTGAAGTTTGTTCGTCGTCGGTCAAAAATTTGGAGAACTAAGGTTTGTATCATGGTTTTTCTCTATATGTTATATAGATATGCTAATTGTAATGTGTGTTTCTAAGTATTTGTTACAAATACTAGTTTTTTATGTTTTATATTTAGGTATTCAATGTCAATTTAAATGTATTATTTGGAATATAGACACACGTGTTTAGTAATATGAAAGTTATTACATGATGATTAAAGTTATCAGTTCATTTGTGGTGATGTAAACCAGTCAGTTAATCAATGTTTGGTTTTAAGCATCCTTAGTACCTTCACTAACAATAGAAAGCATCATTAGTACTATCATTAACAATAGAAAGCATCATTAGTACCACCACTAACAATAGAAAGCATCATTAGTACCATAACTAATAATAGAAAACATCCATAGTACCATCACTAACAATTGAAAGCATCCTTAGTACCATCACTAACAACAGAAAGTATCTTTAGTTTCATCACAAACAATAGAAAACATCATGAGTAGCACCACTGACAATAGAAAGCATCCTTAGTACCATCAATAACAGTATAAAGCATCCCTAGTACCACCACTAACAATAGAAAGCATCCCTAGTACCACCACTAACAATAGAAAGCATCCCTAGTACCACCAGTAACAATAGAAAGCATCCCTAGTACCACCACTAACAACAGAAAGCATCCCTAGTACCACCACTAACAACAGAAAGCATCCCTAGTACCACCACTAACAATAGAAAGCAACCCTTGTACCACCACTAACAATAGAAAGCATCCATAGTACCGAAAGTTGATTTTTTAGAATCGTTTGTGAGCTTTGATTTATTAGAATTTAAAAAACCTGCTTTATCTCATACATATACAAATTTTGATCAGAGAATCTTTCATACGAAACATTTAACAAAACTCCATCTCTGTGAACTGGTAGTAAGTCAATCGGTATTTTATTGGGAACAGTTTCAACGTATTAGAGTTACATTAACAAAACTCCATCTCTGTGAACTGGTAGTAAGTCAGTCGGTTTTTTATTGGGAACAGTTTCAACGTATTAGAGTTACATTAACAAAACTCCATCTCTGTGAATTGGTAGTAAGTCAATCGGTATTTTATTGGGAACAGTTTCAACGTATTAGAGTTACATTAACAAAACTCCATCTCTGTGAACTGGTAGTAAGTCAATCGGTATTTTTATTGGGAACAGTTTCAACGTATTAGAGTTACATTAACAAAACTCCATCTCTGTGAACTGGTAGTAAGTCAATCGGTATTTTATTTGGAACAGTTTCAACGTATTAGAGTTACATTAATAGTTAGTGATACCCGAAGAAGGGCATTGCCCCGAAACGTTGTATCGACAATTATACATATTAAAATATATATATATATTAGCTCCTTAATGGTTTGACGTATAACATGCTTCTTTTTATCTTTTGCAACAACCACTACAGATAATTTTCTACACAGTTTTATAGAAACATGAAATGATATGTGCAGTGTGATATTTTTACAAGTTTGTAGAAGGTGTAAAGATTTTGTAGTGCACTAAATATACAGGTTTACTGTGGTGGTAGGGAATTTGAGCTGTACATTTTTCTTATCAGTTATCCTATGTACGTACAAGTTTTTGAAGTGTTTAGACTTTATAATAAAACGGAAAAATATAAATTATTATTTATTTGAGAACAATTCCTTATTTATAAAAACTACTTATATTTTTGTCGAAATGAACTTGTGTTACTAATTTTACAAAATTGTGGGTTTCAGTCAGATTAGAATGTACAGTTTGAAACGTGTAAGGTTAATAAATTTATGCAAATGACAGGTATTAAGATTTTCGAAGTTTGAAATGGTCTAGTGTCTCTTTAGTATTTGATTTATCATTTAATATCTCAGTACAGTAATTGGTTTATGTGGTTTAACTCTAATGAGTGTCTTCAGTACACCAGCTAGTGCCTGAAATAGAGTCATCTTTACTCTAGGTAACTCGAGTGTCCTCTTTGAAGAAGGAAGGTATTGTGGAACTCTGGAAGGATATGATGCAATTCCGTGATGTCACTATGGAAGAAGGGGAGCTAGAAGTGAAGAGGAGAAAACAGTATCAGATCTGGATGTGGAGCCACATTGAACACCACTTGCTTTATGTTTTTAAACATCATCCGAAAGTTAATCCATCAATAAAAGAAATGGAACAAAAAGTCAGTGAAGGCATCATAACTCCTGGTCTTGCAGCTGACTACATGATTAGTAAATTTCTAGAATAGAACCAGTACTGTATATTTAGTATCTCAAAGTGTGGATGTGTACCATTACTTGTAAGATATGTTTGTGAAATATTGTAACTGCATCGAATCTGCTTTTAACCTTATTTTAAGAATTCATAAAATTTCAAGAACTGTAAAGATATTAAAGGTCATGTAAAGTGTGAATTTAGAACAGCATACAAGTCTCAAGAAGTGCTAGTACAAGTAAAAATGATGTCTTTTGATAGTTGTAACTGAATGATACATTTGTATTATTTACTTCAGACATAATCATTGAAGTTCTGTTGTTACATTGTCTGGCTACTGTGGTTAAGGTAGTTGTTGTATTAAATATTGGATGAGGTTGTTTAAATCTAGATTCTGGCATTAGGGTTAAGTAACCAGATTAATTACTGGATGGATTTATAGTAATGTTTTGGTGCTAAGGTTATTAGAAGCTAGATCAATTTCTGGATAGAGTTGTAGCAATTTCTGGGTGCTAGAAGTGGTGTGTCAGGTAGTCAGATTAATTACTGGATGAATCTGTTGTAATGTCTGGGTGATAGGGTTACTACAAGCCAGATTAATTACTGGATGAATTTGTATTAATGTCTGGGTGATAGGGTTACTACAAGCCAGATTAAGTACTGGATGAATCTGTTGTAATGTCTGGGTGATAGGGTTACTACAAGCCAGATTAAGTACTGGATGAAT